AAATAAAATACTACATTACGTATTTTGAGCAACATTAATAATACTATATTACATATGAAGAGGGGGAGTTTTTTGCTTAATATCATAATATAATAACACTAGTATTTTCTAAGCTTATAACCTATTTTTTTTAAGTATTTAGATCAGCAAAAAGAAAACCCATAAAAACAGTCTGACAAGAAAATTTCAACTTCCCCTGCATGGTGTGTATAAAATCCAACCAAACACTGCCCGGCTGGTGTGGGTCAGCTGACTGCATGTTGTCCCAGGCACCAGGAGGTGGCCGGTTCGATTCTCTCTCAGGGGACATACCTGGGTTACGGGCTTGATCCCTAGTAGGTGTGCAGGAGGCAGCCAATGGATGTTTCTCTCTCTCTCCCTTCCTCTCTCTGAAATCAGTAAGAACATTTTAAAAAAAAACAACCAACCATTAAAACATCCCATAATAGGGCCTCGATCTAATTTCTAACCTTATTTTCCCATTACTATATAAATAAAAAAAATTACATTCTTTTCATGCTGGTCACCAACTATTCACTGAATGTAATTTGCTTTAAAGTTTTGTTTATTTGTGGTTATGCGCAAGGACTACGAAGTCAGAATGCCTGGATTTGAATCCTGCTTCACCATCTACTAACACTGTCACCTTGGGCAATTTATTTAAACTCATGGTGCCTCAGTCTTCTTATATGTAAAATGGAGTTAATACCTACCTCATGCAGTTGTAAGGATCAAATGATATAAAACATGCAAGAGCTCTGCTATGATCTGAAAGTTTGTGTTCCCCCAAATTAATATGTTGAAATCCTAACCCCTAAAGGTAATGGTATTAGTAGGTGGGGCCTTGGGGAGATGCTTAAGTCATGAGGGTGGAGTCCTCATGACTAAGATTAGTGCCCTTATTAAAGTGTATTCAGAGAGATGCCAGCCCCTTCCACTATGTGAGGGTACAATGAGAAGTCTGTGACCCGGGAGAGCTCTTAGCTGACCAGCCTCCAAAACTGTGAGAAATAAATTTCTGTTGTTTGTAAGCTACCCATTCTGTGGTATTTTGTTGTAGCAGCCCAAACAACTAAGATGAGCTCTTAAAACTGTACCTGGCTAAGTGCTCAATACATTTTGGCTGCCATTGTCAACATCAGCATCAGTGGCTCCCTCTGCCCTGCTTGGGAATTTCCTCCATCCATCTAAATCTACTCAACTTTCAGCTCAAAAGAATTGTTTCTAAAAAGTTTCCCTTAACTATATGGATTTCTAAAAATCTTGCTATCCTCTAAACTCATGTAACAACTAGGACCCATAGCAACAACAGTATTTGGCACTGATCTTACATAAATTAAATCTTACATAGTTCATTAACTATGTCTTTTCATAAAAAGTTAACTACATAAGGGATTTATCTTGCCTTACCAAGAAAGCATAAATTATCTCAACATGAAACACATATTCTATTATTTTTACATTGCCCCAAGAACTTGGCGCGTTACATGCACAGAGCAGGCACGCAGTAAATATCTGTAGATGTAGTTAATGCAACCCCCACACAGTTGATGGCTTGTTTGCTAGCTTAGAAATGTTAAAGAGAGACATAAATTATAATCATGAGGCTTTTTAAGACTGTCTTTAATAATGATCAACACATACAACCTAAAGGAAAGGGAGAAAAAAATGTTTCCTGATTTAATTTTCAGATCTACTACAAAAATGTCTATTCTCAAGAGACGAATACATTCCTGCACATAATTGAAATCACTGACAGAACCAAAGCAGAATGATGGGGAGAAAAAAATTAAGAGTTCCCCCTCTCTCTAATCTGGAAGTAATTAACAAGAAACTGAAAGGAAGTTCACATTTTACTCTGGCAATGTGTTGAATACACTGATCCTTCAGTGCAACCTTGAATTTGGAATCTGGTTCAATTCAATGTTAACTGAGGGCCTTCTCTTTATGTAAACCCTACCACCTCTTTCAGCTTTTGTATCCCTACCACTCATTTAAGCAGTTAGACTTAAAACACTTTTCACTCTTCACTTTCCTCTTCGTGTGTATATAGATCAGCTTTAGCACAGGTTACAAGTTCTTTCTTATCAAGCATGGATTTTGAGTTCTACTTTTTCTGGTACCTGGTAAAATGTCTTATGCATGGTAGACCCTCAAATATTTGTTCTGACTGAACAAATAAACTTACAGTATATACTCCTGGATGAGTACTAATCTAGCTGAATCTGTGGCCACCACATACTAAGTGCCTACTTCCACCAGGCACTTTACCCATATCACTTAATCTGCACCACAACCCTTTGCAATAAGTATAATCTCTCTTTTACAAATTGGGAAACTGGGGCTTTAAAGAGCTTAAGAAATTTTTCTAAGATCCTACAGTTAGTAAGAAGTGAAATGTAATATAAATCCAGTCTAATTTCTATCTTTCCATTAAGCCATATCATTTCTCTAAAATAACGCATGATCTTCAGAACCACGGTTGAGGGGCATAGTATGATACTGACATGACTTCCCAAATCTCAGTAAAAGAATAAAGTAGGTTTAGATCAGTGGAATGGTAATTTTTTTTAAAATTTATAGTAAATGCAAAGGGTTATCAACCTTTTACAAATGATGTATCAAAATCTCACTCTTCATTTATTTCTGAGTGCTGAGAACAGAAGGTATTAAATCTATTGCCTGTGTGTTTAGCTTCTGACTTGACCTCTGATTTCTGCGCAGGTGTGTGAGATTAGGCTTTGACCTCCAGCTTGTAAACAGGGGTGGGAAGAGAAGAGTATGTCACAAAATACACTGGATGCCCACTCTCAGATCAGTAGGGAGGGGGTATACTGATAGTAACTAATTAGAACATCCTATTCCTCAGTCACTCAGTATAAATAACAATATTATGCTCACTATTTAAAACAGATTCATTGTACTAGCATACTAGCAAGAGTCTCTTACTTATTTCTATTAATGTTTGCCAAGTTCCTCCGCTTACTAAGTAGAGATTATGCTAAATCCAGAGGCAAAGAAATGAAAAGTGTACATTTGGCTCTTTTCCTCAAAGTCAAAGAGTTTCTCTGGCTTACAAAGTCAACCAAGATGCTTAGCATCTATTATGCTGTTTCGGGCATGAATAATTGCCTGGAGGAAAGTAAGATATAACACCAGAAACACCAACCATAAAGAAACAAGTTGATAAGACTTCCTCAAAATTAAATATTTTTGCTCTAAGAGTTAAGAGAATAAAAAGATGAACTGCAGACTGGGGAAAAATCATTTGCAAAGTATTTATCTGATATAGGATTTATATCCAGACAGTACAGAGAACTCTCTAAACTCAATAATAAAAATAAACAACCCAATTTTTTTAAAGGCAAAAAGATATATGGATGACAAACAAACACATTCAAGGATGCTCAACATTATCAGTCACTATGGAAATGGAAATTAAAACCACAAGATATCACTATACACTTATTAAAATGGGTATCATACCAAGTATTAATCAGGATGTAGAGAGACTGGAACTCTGATACATAGCTGGTGGCAATATAAAACAGCATGACACTATGGAAAAGTTTGGCAATCTCTTAAAAAGTTAAACTATGCCTACCATATAATCCAGCTATTCCATTCTGAGGTTATTTACCCATTAAAAATGCAAACAAACATTCATACAAAGACTTGTATATGAATACTCATAGCAGCTTTATTTCTAATAACCCCAAAATGAAACAAAAAACCCAAATGTCCATCAACAGGTAAACAAACTGTTGTACATCCATATAATGGAATACCACTCAGCAGTACAAATAAATGGTTAATACACACAGCAACATGGATACATCTTAAAATAATTATGCTGAGTAAAAGAAACCAGGAAAAAGAGTACATGCTGTATGATTCCACTTACAGAAAATTCTAGGAAATATAAACTAACGCATAGTGACAGAAAGCAAATCAGTAGTTGCCTGGGGATGGGGGCAAGGGAACAGTGCAGGGAGGGCAGGATAGAAAGACTGAAAAGGGGAATGAAAAATTTTTTGGTGTGCTGGGAAGTCATTATCTTCACTATGCTGATAGTTTCATGAATGTATACATGTGAAAACTTACCAACTTATAAACTTTAAATATGAGCGGTTTTTGTATGTCAATTATTCCTCAATAAAGTTCTTTGAAAAAATAATCGAAAAGATAAGACTTATACATGTGAAAAGTTAAAAGACAAAATCTGTGGTATGTATCCTCAAGCTATGAGAGTTCAAGAGGGTTTCTGAGGAGAAACATTTAGAACTGGCTAAGCAGAAAGGAAGGACAAGGGAATTTGCCAAGGGGGTAAAAGAACGAAAATCCATGAGGACAGGAAAACATAGTAAGGCCTAAAAAAGTTTATTTATATAGCCCTGTATTAAGTTATTAATTGCATAACTTTTTTTAAAAATTGCTGAGTGATGAATATGCAGGTACCACTTCATATCCACCAAGATGGCTAGAGTCAAAAAGTCAGGTAGTGACAAGTTTTGGTGAGGAAATGATGAAATTGGAGTTTCATACATTGCTGGTAGGGATGCAGAATAGTGCAACTGCTTTAGAAAAGTCTGGAAGTTCTTCGAACAGTTCAACATGTTATCATATGACTCAGCAATTCCCAGGAGAAATGAAAGAAAGCACATGTCTACACAAAAACTAATACAAGATGGGAGAACAGGGGAAACTGTGTATTTGGTAGGGCAGTTTTAGGGAATTCTCTGTACCTTCCCATCAATTTTTCTGTAAACCTAAAAGGAACTAAAATACTAGAAAACAATTTCATAGCACATGGAAAGATGAAAGTTAAAACATTCTAAGGCCCTTATATCGTTTGGGAGAAAGAGATGTTGATTATCTTTAGACTTTAAGTCAAATAATGTGTGTGAAAAATTTAACAGAAACCTCTAAATAAAAAGATTAAGTAAAACAAATGTCTTTCTTACAAAGCATATCTATTACTTTTAACTGTGGTACCTTACCTGAGACTCCAGAACCTCCAACTTACGTTTCCTTGCATGAAGAGCTTTGCTTGGAAAAGCCCAATAATAATTAGACGTTCCAATCCTCTCACAATCAACCATACCATCATCAACTAAGCTTTGGAGAACTTCTTTTACTGACATAGCAGCTAAAAGATATAATTTTTAAAGATTTATCATAAATAAAATTCAAAGGCCAATAACTGGGAGAACGCAACAAATATTATAGGTCAAGAGTTAATAATTTAATAAACAAGAAGCTTTAAAAATAGTAACAAAAAAGCCAAACACTGCAATAGAAAAACAAAAGTGTAATAGTGGGCACCTACAAAATGCGCATGGTCAATAAACAAGAAAAATGTTCATCAACCCCATTAATAATTTAAAAATTTAAATAAAGCTATGTGATGATTTTTTGACTACCAAATTAAAAACACTAAAAAATATAATAAAGGATTCAGGAAAATGGGAACTCTCAACCTGGGTGGAAAACACGGCAGCATTGTATCTAAAGCTTTAGATTTAGGCATATACCTTTTATGTAGAAATTTCACTTTTATAAATTCAGCCAAAGACAATAATGATGGATATGCATAAGGATGCTTGTGAAAGCACTGTTTTCCATAGTAAAAAGTTGGGAGCAAGTCCAATAACTGGACTTTTTAAAGTATTTTACTGTGATGGGAAACTATGCAATCATTAAATTTATGTTATAAAATATTTAATGGCATGGTATATATACATTCAAAATGTATTATATAGAATGTATTATATCAAAAAATAAAGTTAAGCCCGGCCGGGCGTGGCTCAGCGGTAGAGCGCCGACCTAGGATCCAGGCAGTCGGGGTTCGATTCCCGGTCAGGGCACATGCCCGGCTTGCGGACTCGATCAATGACTCTCTCATCATTGATGTTTCTATCTCTCTCTCCCTCTCCTTTCCTCTCTCTGAAATCAATAAAGATATATTTAAAAAAATAAATAAAATAAAGTTAAGAGACAGTATACACTAATGTGACAGTGGTTATCTTTGAATGACAGGTTAAGAGGCAATTTTTACTTCCTTTTTTTTACTCATTTTTCTATTTTCTTTTTCCAACAATAAATATGTATTGCCTTTTTTGCTAAGGAAACTAAAATAAACTATTAAGAAGAAAAAAATAAAGAAATAAACAAACTAGATATTAAAAATCAGAAAAAAAGTGTTTTAAAATAGCACATAAAAATATAAAGTTATATTTCACAAATGTTTGAAATTCATGAACAATTCTTACTTTCTATTAAGTAAAACTGTACCAAGAAATTTTCCCTATTTTAATATCCATTTTGATTTTTCCTAGAGCAGATCACCAAATATAATGAAATCTACTTAAAAATTAAAGATTTAATAAATAAATAAAATTAACACCAAATATGTAAAACATTCAACCTCACTTGTAAAGAAGGACAAAGTGAAATAAAATATCAAAAAATTCTAAAAGTGAAAACACAGTTCTGAGAAATGAATGTGAGTTTAATTTGGTATAGCCTTTCTTGAGGTAATTTGAGAATACATATAAAAAGCCTAAGACTACACAAGTCTCTATTTTCTATTCTATTTCCTTCTGAAGTAATATGAGATGTGGAAAAAATTTATGAGGGGGAGAGGTAGGAGTGAATAGGCCCAGAGGATTTTTAGGGCAGTGAAAATACTCTGTATGAAACCATAATGATGGATCTGTCTTCATACATTTGTCCAAACCCGTAGAATGTATAACCCCAAGAGTGAGCCTTAATGTAAACTATGGACTTTGGGTGATATTGATGTGTCAATGCTAGTTCATCAATTGTAACAAATGTACCAATGGTGAGTGATGTTGATAATACAAGCTATGCATGTTGGGAGCCAGAGTCAGGAAGTATATGAGAAATCTCAGTACCTTCCTCTCAATCTTTCTGTGAACCTAAAACTGCTCTAAAAAAACCAGTCTTTTAGAAAAAAATTTATGGGTAGCATGTTAATTACATATTAATTTTAGCAGCAAAATTTGGGAACAACCTAGATGTTTCAACAATAGGTAATGGGGCTAAGCAAATCCTGGCACTGTAGGTAGTCACAGAAGTAAACATTAGGAGATGCAAATGCTGGACATCATTTTTTTTAAAGCACATGACATAGGTAAATGTGGATGATATAATGTTATATGAAAAAATACATGAACACAAAACTTTATATGCAGCATAGTTCCTTCTCAGAGAAATGGACAGATACATACATACAAAGACAAATAGCACGTAAGAATAAGACATCACATTTATTGTTTTGCAGATATGGTACCAATCTTGCATCCCAGGAATAAGTCCCTTTTGATCATGGTGTATGATCTTTTTAATGTATTGCTGGATTCAGTTTGCTAATATTTTTTGAGGATTTTAGCATTTATGTTGATCCAGGATATTGGCCTATAACTTTCTTTCTTTGTTGTGTCTTTATCTATGTGCATTGCAGCATGATTTACAAGATTTGGAAGCAGCCCAAGTGTCCATTTGTAGGTGAGTGGGTAAAAAAGCTGTGGTACATTTACACATTGGAATACAACTCTTCCATAAAAAGGAAGTTTGCTACAGCATGGATAGGCCTGGAAAACATTATGCTAAGTGAAATAAGCCATCCAAAGAAAGACAAGTACCATGAGATTTCCATATGTGGAATCTAATGAACAAACTGAACTACCAAGCAACATAGAGAAAGACTCATAGATAGACAGCAGGCACACAGCTCTGGGAGGTGGAGGGGTACTTGTTGGGATTGAACAAAAAAGAAAAGAGAGAGGACTCATGGACATAGACACGGTCAACAGAGTGAACACTGTGGTTATTGGAACAGCTCTGGGGGGGGGGAAGAGGGCATAGAGGGGATAAGGGGCAATGGAAAAAATAAAATTAAAAAAAAAAAAGAATAAGACATCAAAATACACCAAAATGTTAACAGTGGTGGTCCCAGAATAGAGGGCTTATGAACAACTTTTATTTTTATTATATTCTTTATAATTTCCAAATCTGTTAAAATAAGCATGTAGTTTACATAATCAGAAAGTCAGTTTAAGAAAATATGTATCCTATATAGTGGAGTCCCTCAAAATATAACTCCCCAGAATCTGTGAATGTGACAATATTTGGAAAAATCATATGTACAGATATAATTAACAATCTCCAGATGAAATCATCCTGGATTTAGGATGGGTCCCAAATCAATGACATTTGTCATTATAAGAGACAGAAAAGGAGAAAACAAAAGGGAAGGCCATGTGAAGACACAGGCAGAGATTAGAATGATGTGTCTGTAAGCCAAGCACTGTTGGCAGCCACCAGAAGCTAGAAGAGAAACATGAAATGGATTCTCCCTCAGACTCTCAGAAGGAGCCAACCCTGTTGACACCTTGATTTTTGACTTCTCATCTCCAGAAATCAGAGAATAAATTTCCATTGTGTTAAGTTACCAAGTTTGTGGTCATTTGCTGCTACAGAAAACCAACACACCATGTAAAGACAAAAAGTCACATTTAATAAATATTAAAACATACATGAACAGTTTTTACTTCTGTTGAAGTCAATTATACCCATAAATAGATAAATGTGTATATTTGTATGCATGTATATATGTGTGTTTGTGTATACAGAGGCATGCATGCATATTCCATTTTAATTTTCCTACAGCAGATACTCCAAACACAGGAATTGTGGCCGTGGACCAAACATCATGTAAAGACTTTTATAAGCATTCCTTTCTAGAAATTTATGTTTCCATAAAGTGAAAGACTGTAGCAGAAAAGATGACCGTTATTTCCCTAAATATCCCAGCATGTCTTTAATACTTACTAATGCCTTTCTCTTTGGGAGCAATCTTCTCCATGTCTTTTAATTGAAATACATCTTTCTGTTTAAAAAAAATTTTTTAAGAGATGAAAAACATTTATTTATTTTTCTACTATATATTTATATTTACCATAATTATGTTCATAAAAGACTGTACTAAAAAACTATGCCTGAAAATTAACAGTGCAATAAAATCAAGCATTTTGGAGCTAGAAGAAACTGAAATTATCTTGTTCAATGCCTTCAATAGAAGGTTTTGCATGAACATACAAATCTTAAAGTAACTGGAGAACACCTTCGCACTAAAGTAAAAAAACTAGTTAAGATGAATTATTTGTTAACATGAGATAATCCAGCTTCTCTGACACTGATTTTAAGAAAAACACAAACAGTACTTTGTTTAGCATATATCATATGTTACAGATTTAGCAGTTTCAACTAAAAGCAAAACAGACGACTGTCAAAAATTGTTTAGTTTCATGGAAGAGCTACACTTAAACAATAGGAAAATTATATAATTCGTGGCTGCCTATCAATCATTCGTCTATACAGGTTGTGTGTCCACCAAAGCAAAACATTATAGGAATCTATACATGTAGAATATTTAATCTTACAGTTAATCCTTTCTTTTTGTAATAAGCCTTGGTTAAAGTAATAAAAAAAACTCGGATAGACAAAGTGAAAAATTTAAGACAGAAGTACTCAGGAATTAGAGGAGAATTATTGTGATAATTGTTTGGAAATCTGGGATCTATTTCTTCCAAAATAAGCTTGAAAAGTCAACTTCAATAGGGTGGAAATTAGATTTCATAAAAATTTAAAACTTCTGCTCATCCAAGGGTAGTATTAAGAAATTGAAATGACAAAAAATGACTAGAATACAATATTGACAAAACATATATATGATAAAAGACTGGTACCTGGGTATACATTCCCCACCAAAGACAAACTGACAGATGGATAAAGGAGTGGATAGATGAATACATAAGTGATAAAGCAAGTAGAGTAAAATGTTAATGGTAGAATCTAGGTGTGGGACACATAGGTATCACTGTAAAATTCTTTCATCTTTCATAATAAAGTGTTGGAAAAAATAACTTCATCTCACTACACTTAAGGTTTAGTAAATTAAGGAAAATACTAAGTCATTGGTCTTAGGGTATGAAATCAATTTTTGCACATCTGGGAATAAACTGTTTAAAGATAATACTCAGAAAACATGCAATGAATTACTGGCTTTAGGTATCTAACGCATTTAAAAAAATCAATTAATCAAACCTATGTGCAAATACTTCAGATTCCCTGGATAAAGGACATGAACTCATTGAGACATCTGCCTGTAACTGGTCATCAAGGAAGAGCCCCAGACATACCAGCTGCCCCAGTGGGGTTGCTGTGTAAATACATAAGCTTGCAAAGAACTAGACTCAGAACTAAAATGTGGTCATTTAAGTAGACAGAGAAAATGGTCTCAAGCATATATTAGTTCTCCCCAGCATTAAACAAAGATAATAAAGGAGAGATGAACACAATGGTTCTAGCCCCTAAAAAAATAACTGTGTAAGCTACCACTAGATGACTTTTAATTAAGCAGTTATGACCTGGGCATTGTAATGTTTTACAGAATATCTCATTGAATTCTTATACCAATAGATGAGAAAACAAAGACTTAGGTTAAAGAACTTCCTTAAAGTCACAAAGTTATTAGGTGAAACAAACTTCAGGTACAAGTTCTCTATCATTGAGCTATAATGTTACCATGTTCTTCTTAAGGGTAATGGGCAAAGAATTATTTTTCTAGTACATTAGCAACTCCAAAAATACACATGTATGTATTCATACGGATGAATATATATAGTATTTGAACTGAAATCAATCAACCAATCAATTACAGTCATGCATTGCATGACGACATTTTGGTGAACAAGCCATAAGATTATAATGGAGCTGAAAAATGCCTATTGCCTATTGACATTGTAGTTAGTCATCCTCATAGTGCAAAGTATTACTCACGTGTTTGAGGTTATGCTGGTGTACACAAACCTACTGTGCTGCCTGCTGTATAAAAGCACAGCACCTACAATTATGTCCAGCACATAATACTTGATAATGATAGTAAATGACTGTTACTGATGTATTTACTATCCTGTATATTTTACCATTATTCTAAGTGTACTCTTTCTACTTATAAAAATACTTCGCTGTAAAACAATATGCCGTTATGCTGGCAGCAACCTCATACACCTTGTGTTTACTGTACCTATTGCATCATTTTTCTCTTGGCAGGCACAAATAACTGGAAAAAATTAAGGAAGCCTATGTACCATCATATAAGTATTACACTACAGACTGATTTATAAATGCAAAGAGGCAGTATTTATCACTGCCTCTAAAATCAGATAATCCTCGTTGTTTTGAATCCTGGCACTATCACTTCCATTTTTTGAGATACAGGACTGGTATTTTATTTAGCTGTTTCTCAGATGTCCAAATCTGCAGAATGAGGACAATAACAACAGTACTGATCTCAGAGGGTTAAAAGGATAAAATCAGATAAGCTACACCACATGACTGGCACCTAGGAGGCACTCGGTAGATGTGAACTACTCTCATTATCAGTTTCAGGCAGAGAGAGGACACAATCAGACATATGCTTTAGAAAGATAATTCTGGGTCCAGTGTGTAGGACAGTCTGGATAGAAAGGCTCTATGAACACTGGGATAAGGTTCTTTTATATGCCATAGCTCACAAGCACAACAGATATTTGCAGAATTTTATCATTCTTCAGGAAGTTCATGAGTATTGATTTCTAATTTTAAAAAGGTACAGTTAAGCCCTAGGTGGTGTGGCTCAACTGGCTGCAGCATCATCCCATACACCAAAAGGTGGCGGGTTTGATTCCCGGTCAGGGCACATACCCAGATTGCAGGCTGGATCCCCAGTTGGGGGTGCGTGATGGAGGCAACCAATCGATGTTTCTCTTTTTATACACACACACATCTCACTTCCTCTCTCTAAAAATCAATGAAAAAGCATATCCTCAGGTGAGGATTTAAAAAAAGGTACAGTTAACAATGGATGATATATACGTAAGAAAAACATTATGTGAAATACTAAAAATCTTAGGGAAAATGACTGACTTACCGTCTCAAAAAAAATTTCCATCATGCGAGTTCTCTTTTCCTCTGCGCTCAATCCTTTTTTCTTCGACTAAAGCACAAAAATTAAAAAATACACACTACATTTAAAAACAACTTAGTCTGAAACATTATCAAAAAGTTTATTTATGATCTTGTCTGATACCAACAGGTTTGATAACACTCAGCCAGGCCTAAAGACTATTTTAACTAGTCTACGACTATAGGCCAAGCCTTGTGGTTGGTGCTGTCAGTACAATAAAAACTGCGGCTGAAACAGAGCCTGGCATTTTGTATAAATTCATTATTTATCAAATGATCCAGTGACAAGTCACTGTATTTACTTTCAAAAGACTTACAATCTCTCAAAGAAAATAAATAGATATAACTACTTATAACTGATAAACAGGTACATGCACAAATTGTTACCCAGGACGGAAGGAATTACCACCCAGGTGAGAATGAGTTAACTCTGCCCTGGGTAAGGAGGAGAGTGCGCTAAGAAAGCCAGAGGTGAGAAGGATTTTGGTGAGTTGAGAAAGGTGTTCTGGGCAGATCACACACAGGCACAGTGTAATGGAAGTTCATGGAATGCTCCCGAAACTCTGGAAGATGACTGTATGGCGCACATACAGGGAGTGGCAGGTAAGGAGAGAAAGATAGTCTGGGGTCAGGTGATGGAAGGGTGACTGTCCAGTCTAAGAGAATGGACTTTATTCTAGGCAATGAGGAGCTACTGCACAATTTCTAAAGGAGGGAGTGACAAGATTAGAATTACATTTTAGTAAGATAGTTGTAGTAGCATTGTGGAAGGTGGGCTGGAGAAAAGAACCCCTATCCAAATAGAAAATGGAGCCTATTTCAGGTTACTATCATCCTGTAACTATCTTTTAGCCAACTTGATATTAAGATAATATGTAACTAAAATGTATGTTAAGAATAAATTTTACTATATACAGGCCCCCCAAAAAAGACAAATAGCCTCAATGCAAAGATTCATAGAAAATAATAAAGGAGAACGCGAATCTCATCTCTAGCACTATAATGGAGGATTCTGTTCTAATTTTAAGATTCCGTGCTAATGTTCCTTAAGATTTCAAACATTGCACATAAAAAAGAACTTTAAAACACTTTATACCACTTAAAGAGCAAACATAAATAAAACAATTAAAGGCTGACCCTATCAACCAAAAACTCCATCAGAAAATGAGAGCCCATGACACATGGGGAGAGGGATTTGGAACTGCCATTCTGAATATATACCAGAGTATTAGCCTTTGTTCTATTGCAGATCCTAGAAACCCACCAACTCATCTTCACAGCGATAAAATTATCCTGTGTTCCCTGACGAGTCACATGGGTAACATAAGTAGCCTTAAAGTTTATATTTCTTTCCTTTTCCTCTGTCTACTCTCAAACACTGCAGTTCCCCAAGTTCTCTATTGATGCCCTCTTCTCCTCACACCTTTTCTTTGATCTCATCTGCTTTCATGATTTTAACTAACACATGTAGTCCTCAAATCTTTCCATTTGAGTCCTGGAGTGTGCTCCTGAGCTTCGATCTCCTGTATCTACCTGCCTACTGGACAGACTTCAAACTCAGGAGGTCTGAACTGAAATCCTCCTCTCCCACATCTACTCCCCAAACCTGCTGTTTCAGATCTTGAGTTCAGTTAGATACCACCTTGTTGCCCAAGCCAGAACAGAGGTTTCAGTTGTGAGTTTCTGTCACCCTAGTTTCTTTATCTTATTCCACATCCAAACGATCACCAACCTCTGCCCATTTCAGTGCTTAACTATTTCACAAATCTACATCTGCTCCTTTCCTACCACTTCTACCTCAATTTAGATCTTCATTATCAGTCTCCTGCAAAATACCTGTAGTCCCCTACGCACACTTTGTCTCACCCTCTAAGTCCACATTCTGCACTGTCAAAGCCTTCAGTGGCTCCCAACCACCCAGAAGTGTCCAATATGCTAGGAATGATACCCAAAGGCCCTCTCCCACCTGACCCCAACCTACTCTCACAGGTACCACCCTCCACCTCAATTTTACCATAAAAATGTGGAGAGCTAAGCAATTTGCGCTATAATACAATACCTACTTGTAATTCTCCACTTGAGGAATGCTCTTTCCCATCTCTTTTTTTAAATTATATTTATTGGGGTGACAATGGTTAATATGAACATATAGGTTTCAGATGTGGGTTTCTGTTACCAGATCTGTACATTACTCTGTGTGCCCACCACCCAAAAATATCTTCTCCCATCACTATATATTAAGACCCATGCCTTTAAAAACGTTGTTCTACCTAAAACACCTTCTCCTTTTACCTATTTGGAACTCCAAAGTCTCCCAAGCTATGGTTACCCATTCTCTAAGAGAATGTCCCTGAGCTCACAGGCTAGGCTGAGCGCCAATCCATGTGTTCCCAGAACACACCTTCATCAAATCACTTACTACAGTTAACAAGATGTGTTTACTTGTCTCTCTCAGCAGACTGAAATCTTCAGAACATGAACTGCCTTTGCCTTCCCAGAGCTGTGTCAGGTTAGAGAGAGCGGACATAAAGGCCAAGCCTTTACTTCAAGACCATGTATCTAAAACCCTGAACCCTAAAATGTGAAGCTGTTCAGGCTCCCAAACCCTACAACACCCACTGGACTCACATAAATATGATACAGGATGAAATAATAAGATATTCTGTGATAACCATTTATTGCCTGGCTTAGAGAAGTAAATCAGAAAAATCTCAGATAGACTTGTTCACTAAACCTATCCACCTCCCTTCATGTTGGCCTCTGCAGTATCTGAATAAGCCAAGCATGAAATTCACACTGTTAGAAGGCTCCCTCAGCTCATTTCACTAGCCCACTGGGTCTCAACCTGCCATTAAAAATCATCTCAGGGGCTTTTAAAAAATACTGATGCCCAGGCACATCCCATATGAACTGAGTCAGAATCTCTGAGAAAGGGCCTCAGCCTGGGCATGCTTATTTTAAAAATCTTTTCTAAGTGCTTCAATTGTGCCCCAGGATTAAGAATACTGCCTTTCTCACCCCAGAATCTAGAGGCCATGTCAGGGGCACTTGTGGAGCAGTGAGAACCCCTTTAGGTATTTAGTCTGTGGCTGCATCAGCGAAAAACAGAGCCAAAGCTTTAGGAAAGGTTCCTAATGCCTTGGTATTACAAACAGTTCCTTGGAGAGACCTATAGAGATTCCATTAGAATCTGTCACCCTGAGACAGGTAACAGGAGAATCTAATGCCCTGAGGGTAGTTTTAGGAAAGCTCTTATCACTCAGCTTGGTGGCTATGAAAGTTACTCAAGAACTATGGGTGAGCTGTATCATCCATTTACATTGCTTCCAAGCTAATTTATTTGTCAGTCTCTTATTACTACAAATAGTTTTTACTCTTCACTACAGTAGGAGAGCATCATGGCCAGAATTAGTTGGGTAGCTCAGTTGGTTAGAGTATCAGTCCGATACACCGGGGTTGTGGTTCATTCCGCTGTCAAACAAGGCACACACAAGAGGCAACCAATGGATGCATAACAAACCAATGTTTCTTTCTCTCTCTCTCTCTCAAATCAGTAATAAAATTTAAAATAACTAGTGTGAAAGGATGCCATATTAATCCAATTCAAAAATTTCTCTAAAAAAGATTAGCAACAGCTCATTTATTTAATACTTAAGATTAAAGAAAATCTCCTAATAGTATAAGTTAGAGATGCATTCAAATTAGTATGTAAGGGGACTCAAAACTTGACTTGAGGACAACAAAGGAAACTTCTCCATTAGGAGTTACAGAATTCCTCAAGTCAGCCCTGTTGATCAATTACAATAAAATTTTGCAAAATAAAATGTAGATATCTGCAGTCCTCAGAAGTGGCAGGCTACATTGCACTTCTCCACTTCCCAAAATACGCCTGGACTTGTAACTGTTTACTCATCAAGCCCAACCAAACGAAAACAGCTATTAATTTACAATCAGGAAAGAGAATGAAAGTCACCTTTGACCAACAGAACGCTAGACTTATTTATTATCATTAATAAAATCAGGAAGTATAGAGTTTACAAAAAGTTTTCTAATTTGTTTCATGCTTCTCCATTATCTGAGGTAAGGATCTGAAAAGAGTTAACAGCACATTAAACCATTAACTGTTAGAAGGTGATTTATGAGTAGAGAGGGATTAGGTAAAAGGATAAAGTTAATGCATTTGTAATAGTTATCAGTAGTCTGTTATATTAGGCCAATAACTCTATAAAGAGAAATATGATATCACAGAGCCCTGGTAACAGATTTAAGTGTGGTCCTGTTTGGCTTCTTACATCATTTCATGCCCAGGTGGCTGGGATGGTAGTTTAACCACAAAGAGGCCGTTATCAGTTGTAATTACATCTGGACAAGTATCTTCAAATAAACACTGTACAACCTAAATCCTTGTCTACCATTAGCTCCGCAAAAATAACGGCCACTTAACTAAATTAAGATACTAAAATCTCAGATCCATTTAATGAGATATTGATTCTCTGCCAAAAGAAGCAGAAAAAAAATAGCACGAAACTTTGAAGGTTTACGAAAATGATTGGATGATCACAAAGACATTAAATGCAAGCCGGCCTGGAACCTTGCCAGGTGCTCCCCTAATAAAACAAATCACTCCCTACCAACCGCGGCGCAAAAGGGCAAAGATACTTGCCCTTTGGTAAAAACCGACGGATTTTTCACAGCAATCGCCTAACTGGCATAAAGTGAAGACTCACTGGGTTACTTCTGAAATTATGGGCAATTGAGAAACATGCTCTACACGTTGCGATGCACGAAACCACTCAATGGTCGAAAATCAAGCGAGCCCCCCGGGGCCCCGGGCGGGCGTCCAGCCCTCGGCCTCGCGACGCCCCCC